TCGACACTGTCGACACGCCATGGCTGCCGCCGCTCGGGTAGGTCTTGATCCCCGCGGCCTTGGTCGAGTTGATCATGGTCGCCCCCGTGACGTAGATGTTCTTGACGGTGTCGCTGCTGGACTTGCCCAGCGAGCCCACCGAGATCCCGTGCGAGCCCGTGCAGGTGATCGTGTCGACGGTGACATAGTTCGAGCTCGGCTTGAACGCCACGCAGTCGTCGTCGTTCTTGACCGTCGTGTCCGCGATGGTCACGTAGGTGCTCTCGCCGATGTCGAACCCGTCGGTGTTCTTGGGGTCGTTGTCGGACTTGGAGGTTGCGTCCATCCGCAGCTTGGAGAAGACGACGTTGGTCGCGCCCCCCTTGACTGAGTTGAAGACGTTGGGCGGATTCTTCTGACGGAAGTTGGAGAACTCGAGGTTGCTGCCGCCGGTGATGTAGAGGAGGGTCGGTCGGGCATAGCTACTGTCTGAGGCAAAGACGTCCCAACTGACACGTTGAGCAGAGTCAGTACTGGTAGGATTGAAAGGTATGAGGGGGTTGACTCACGCATCCTGGCCATTTCCGTCGATGACCCCCGACCCCGTCAGGGACCGCAGCTTGAGTCCGTTGATCTTGGAGATGCTGATCATGGCAGTGCGCCCCTCCCAGTAGTCGGTGTTACTGGCGAATTTGAGCAACCCCTCGACCTGGAAGTCACAGCCCGTGCAGCCAGCGAAGTCGAGGACGCTGTTGAGGTAATAGGTGGTGCCTTCAGGAATGACGATAGTGCCACCGTTACCACAGCTAGCAATCGCTTTGGTGATAGCAGGGACGTCGTCGATAGAAGAGCTGCCTCCTGCAGTTGGAGTGCAGACCGCACGAGGCCGAAGCACAGCATCCGGACTATGTTGCACGGGCGAGGGGGCAGCCCTAACCAGGCCAACGGCCGCTAGCAGCAACGACGTCCAGTGTGGTGCCATATTGAAGGCTAGAGGCACAAAAGATACTTGAGATTATTGATGGAGTTTACTGAGCTGAATCATTCGCAAGCCTAGATATATAGCAGAGTGAAGCTCAGATGGACGATCCTTACCTGAAATGCGAGACACGGCGTGCTATTTTCATCACGGACGGCGGTAACAGTAATGCCTGTTTCAGGCTCTCGTCTCGGGGCACTACCTCCAACGAACTGCATGCTTGACATGTGAATGCGAAACAACAGTGGGGCTGGCTGGACGGAGAAACTGAAGCGGTGCTAGGGCTCCTGTCTCCAACGGTCCGGGCCACGTGCGGCAACTCCGCTGCCTCGCTTGCGGATAAATCGGAGGTAGAAGGTCAGAGGGATGTTATGGAGGTGCCTGGCAAAGTATCCAATGCATTACTTCGACTACGAACCCAAGACCCTAGTGTGACAAGCGGGGCAATTTAGCCAGGGCCGAGAGGAGCCCTTGGCAATCCAGCGTTTCAGCTTCCCGCTGCCACCCCGGCTAAATTGAGCCTGTTCCTGTGACGGACACCGGTAATTGTCAGGGGCACTCCAGTTTCTGCAAACTCAAACTGCCGAGTGTCTGAACAGAGCGCCTCGGAAGGCTATTGGAGAAGTTGATCCTATTCATGGAAATGTGGATCTTCCTGTTCGTCTGGGCTGCATTCCTCCGGACTCTCCGCACTGTCGATGCCAATCTTGTTCCCACCAAGCCTCAGCTCGCGCCAGTCAGAATCAAACCTCGTGCCTCGGCCTTGGCACTTGCAAGGTAACAACGGATTGAGAGGTGGAAAATACTCCCAGGGTTGCAGAAGTGGCTCCTTCGTTGCATGATCGCATTTCTCCTTGGCCGAACCCTATATATCTGCCTGCGCCCAGAACCGCCAACTGCGGGATCAGCAGTGGAAAGATCAGCGCTTCCCTACGAAAGACTTTCCCACATTTCTCCCATGCATTTCTCCTCTGCTCTTGTCGCCCTTATCGGGCTCACTGCCCCAGTGCTGTCAGCTCCGGCGTCATCCCTTGAGAAGCGGACGAGTCGCACGAGCGCGCCCTCGGGCTGCCTGAGTGTCGGCTCGGGGCAAACCTACTCGACCATTAGCGCAGCCCTAACTGCTCTTGGTTCCTCAACTGCCGCAGCATGTATCTATATTGCCAGTGGCACCTATTCTGAGCAGCTTACCATCAAGTATGCCGGAGCCTTGACGCTGTACGGGCAGACGAGTGACACCGGCTCATACAAGAACAATGCCGTCACCATCACCCACACCATCTCCTCGCCCGACGCTGGGTCCTTGGACAAGAGTGCCACTGTCAATGTGGTCTCCGACAACTTCAAGATGTATAACATCAACGTCGCCAATGGATACGGAAAGGGCGCTCAAGCCGTGGCGTATGTATTATCTTCTCGACTTCGATTTGATTTGACGCTTGACTCTGACTTTGTTGTATATAGACTGGTCGGCAACGCGGATCAACTGGGCTTTTACGGCTGCCAGTTCACGGGATACCAAGACACTCTTTACGTCAAAGCCGGCACCCAGTATTACTCCAACTGTTTGATCGAGGGTATGAATACACCAAAGCCAAGACACAGGCATATCCGCAATGGCTGACACAAATAGGTGCCGTGGACTATATCTTCGGAGATGCCTCTGTCTGGTTCGGCGAATGCGATATCGTCTCCAACGGAGCGGGAGCCATCACCGCCTCCTCTCGCGAAACCTCCACCGACGATGGCTGGTATGCCTTCGATAACTGCAACATCAAGGCCGCGTCGGGAGTGTCCCTGACCGATTCGGTCTATTTGGGCCGTCCTTGGCGAGTGCTGGCTCGGGTCATCTACCAGAACTCGGTTCTTTCTGATATCATCAACCCCAAGGGATGGACCACGATGGCGGAGGGAGCGACTCCGCTGTACTATGAATACAACAACTCGGGTGATGGATCGAGCACATCTAGCAGACTCTACGAGAGTTCGATCTCGGCGGCTGTGACCAAGACGACAGTGTTGGGTTCCACTTGGGGGGATTGGATTGATCGGACTTACTAACGGTCTCACCATGTCGGGTTGTAGGTAGTGGATCAGAATATCTTCGATTTATTTAGTCATAATATCCGGTGTTCTATCACGCTATACAGGAGACGTAGTTGATAGGCAGAATTGCACTTGAGCCTAGATGAAGAGCAAGTTTTTGCGCATTCGCGTGATGCCTCCGGCAAGGGGGCTGCATTTCTCGAAGAAGTCTCCTACAGGCCTAGAGAGTGCATAGCACATTGCATCATAGTAGACATGTTAAGCAGTGTCACTGTGCTTTGATACCGCCCAGCCAAAACAGTTTGTGGCGTACTCGATAGCCTCGACGGTATTCACCGTCTGAAACAACAGAGTGAAGAGTCTGCTATTCACTTTTAGTGAAAAGGACTTGTTGGCGGCCTTATGGTCTCGATATGGACTGGTCACCGCCCGCCCCGGCCATTCTGATATTTCTTCGCTCGAACAGCCTCACGTAGTTGGGTACATCACTCATCCACGTCACCGACAGGGCTATCACCGCCATCAATATTTTCAGATTGCTGATAGGTCAAAGCTCCGCTGGATACAGGAAACCCGGCAGAGAAAGCAGTGAAAAGGAGATATCAATATGAGTTTCTTTCTTACAAATGTTTAATGATATCTTCCAGTTCACTAAGCCACACAAAAGCCATGGGTTGATGTTCGTACATCTCTACATCAATATCTACTATCGGTCGAAATACATCTTTGGACCAGATCTCAATCATCACCAACTTTCCTCACCACTACAACAACTCTACCAGTGGCCAGTACTCTGCCTCCATCACCCCATCATCTCACTATCAAGCCTCTGCCACTGACGCCATCCTCGATATCATGTCCGATGCAACATTCGTCGTCCTTGTCCTCGGCCTCATCCACTTCACCAGAGGCGCGACAGAGCATTGGCTCCGCCGCGACGTCTTCCACAATCGCGTCTGGTCTGGCGTTTGCCTGTCGGTGCTTTCCACCTTCCTGATAAAACACATCGTGTACGGCTACATGATCTACATGCTGGAATGGCAGTCGGATGACTACCTCGCTGCGGAGGTTGGGATCGGCGAGCGACAAACCCTAACTGCTCAATCTAGTGCACTACAGGGCTTGCACGAGATGTTCCACCACAGCTGCATCTCCGATGTTGACATGATGATCTGGCTACAGAGTCGGGGGAATCGGTTCGAGCTGGCACTCATCTGGTTTGCCTGGACCTACATCGCTATGGTCATCTGGTTCCTGGCCCGCGAGGGGTTCTTTCCCTAAGTCGCGGAGGGCAGCAGCTGTTCCCACACGACATGGCAAGACAATTTATCATAGAGGAGGCTCAGCTACATATTTCGGCAAGAAGATTCAGGGGGAGGAGAACAAACGGGGGGAGTTGTTTTTGCGTGGATCATTTGACCTTCTGAACTAGATATTCCATTTACCCCCTGCAATGCACAGGTCTTGCTGCACACAAACTACTTTTGATGACCTGGAAACAACTGTGAAGAGTAACCAGCCTCTCCAGAGAGGGCCTGAAGGATGCGTTTGATGGTGAGCACTCTTGATCTTGTGAAGATGAACTTGATTGTGACTGCACACATTAATAGCATAAAAGACCTCAGTATCAGTCTTTTGCTTCACTGCCTTTTCAACAAACATTATATAAAATGGTCTCCGTAGAGTATGAGTCAAAGCTGCGAAAGTAGGGAAGTGTAGAGTGCAGGGGTTCTTTGAGTAGCGAAAGAACTACAGGCGAATGTCCTTTCACTACCGGAACTCTTTATCACGCCTCTCCAAGGCCACCTGATTCTCGCAGTTGTCGTTCTTACAAACAATGCATAAATAATAGCCTAATTTCTTCTTCAAAATACCACTTCTCGAACATACACTTACCCTCGGTCAACCAGCAACAAGGCCCAGAAACCCTTTTATCAGACCGACATCACATATCCTGCTAATTACAACCCCGCAACTCCCTCCGATCATCACAACCATGGCGGACTCCATAACCGAGGCAACCCTTGTGATCCTATTCGTGATAGGCGTGCACCTGAACAGGAACAATCTTGTCCCCCACATCCGTTCATCTTCTGCCCGCCATCCCACCCTCACGATGTACGTCGCAATCCCCCTCTTCATTCTTATGGCCAAATTCACGATTGTGCACTCGATATACATCTACAGCCTCGCCTACGACCACCGACAAATCCAGGCCCTTGTGACAAGGACCGCTTTGTCACGCGATGTGGCATGGACGGAAGCTGAAATAGTGGATTGGTTGCTCAGCACAGGCTACATCAAGGGAATCCGGAACCACTGGGTTGCGCTCGCGCAGCGGCGAACCCTCAACGCCATGATACTCATCGGGCTGGCCTACATCGATCTAGCGATTTTCATGTGTGATCTGGCCTATCGATGCTTGCTTATGCGGTGGCGGTCCTCGAGGCGTAACCTGGGCCGTCAACCCGCGCAACGGGCGAGGGGTGGTCAGGCCCGTCGCCGACATCCTGTGCGACGCCGATGAGAGGGCTTCTAGTTTTGGAGGGTCTGTGTTGTCTTAGGTTGTAGGGAGGCGTAAAGAGTCTTGAGGAGAGAGGTATGATTTGAAAAATGCTCTTCCATCGAGTGGGTGGTTGATAGAACGGATGTTCAAGATCATGCTGTACAAGCCATGTTGTGGTTAAGCTGTAGTGCTTGTGGTGTAGTCTTGATATCATCAGCCTTAATCATTAGAAGAAATAACGAGTGACAGAACCTAGGTTAGCGAGCCGAGACAACAGCAAGATCATTACAGGAAAATCAATGGACAGCTTCTTTCGAAGAACACTCGGAGGGGTGATGTTCTTGTAAAAACTGGATCATTAGGTGCCTTGACGCGTTATGCAGCCAACTGCGTCCCCATCTATCGAGGTCTGGAACGTTCCCGTACATACGCGTTGGCTGGCTCAACTACTACAAGCTTTCAGCCAAACCATCGCCAGTCTGGTTCGTGGCTTATCTTGTTTAGGAAGTGCAGATACTAGACTCACCAGATTTACTAACATTCTTTTGAACTCTACCTTCAGTGTATACGTCGTGTCAAGGTAGTATCAAGTCATAACAAGAGTCTTTAGGGAGATCAAAAAGAAGGACCAACCCAAAGTCCGGGTTTTCGGCCCTACCGACGTCTTTGTCTATGTATGGCATATTTATGATTCCGCTCACCCCCTATCAGTTTCCCTCCTTCTATGAGTTCTTTTACGGCCGAGTTTCGGGCTGCACTGAGGTATTCTCGGACCACACCGAGCTACATGTCTTGCATTAATTACGGGATGTGGACATGGGGGCGCTCCAGACCAGACCCTGCGGCTACCCCGCACGCATATCCAGGAAGATCCGGGGTAATATCACCCGCCCTATAATTGATCATAGAGTTGGCCATCTGCGAGAGGACTATCAAAGTATTTGTTCGGGACACAATATCCCGAGGCCCATGAAGCTGACTCCTGAATGCATGAGTATAAAACTCAGTCATCAGGCCTCTGCTACCAATTAAAAATAGCACTGCCTCGACTGAGAAGGACACAGCAAATTCACACGGCTTTCCACCCATAGTTCATCATGCACATTATCACTCCTTTGCTGATACCAGCAGTGTTAGTGGCCGCAGCCCGGGTCCCATACCGGGAGTATATTCTAGCCCCGTCCTCTCGAGTGATCGTCCCTGCCTCAGTTCGTCAGGTCAACGGGTCTGTCACTAATGCGGCTGGCCTGACTGGATCCTCATTGGGCACCGCCGTCTTCCATGGCGTTTCGTCGGTGACCTACGACTTTGGAAAGAACGTTGCAGGCATTGTGTCCCTCACAGTTGGATCTTCTTCCTCTCCATCTGCCTTCCTGGGGGTCACCTTCTCTGAATCAAGCCTGTGGGCGAGCAGTGAGGCGTGCGATGCTACTGGAAATTCTGGCCTCGATGCACCTTTGTGGTTCCCGGTTGGACAAAAGGCGGGAACATATACCCCTGACAGCAAATACGTTCGAGGTGGTTTCCGGTATCTGACGGTCGTGAGCAACACGAGCGCGACGATCCCTCTCAACTCCCTCCACATCACATTCACAGCTGCCCCGGATCAAGATCTGCAAGCGTACCAAGGCTGGTTCCACTCGAATGACGAATTACTGAACGAGATCTGGTATGCGGGAGCATATACCAATCAGCTGTGTACAATTGATCCAACATATGGCTCCGCGAGCTCGGAGACTATTTCCACCTCCGGCCTGAATTACTGGTACAACAATCTCACTATCGCCAATGGAACCAGCACAGTGACCGATGGCGCAAAACGAGATCGCGCTGTTTGGCCAGGCGACATGTCGATCTCTCTCGAGAGTATCGCGGTCAGCACCAACGATCTGTACAGTGTTAGAATGGGATTGGAGGCCCTACTCGCTTTGCAATCATCTGAGGGACAACTGCCTTGGGGTGGCAAGCCTTTCAACATTGATGTTAGTTACACTTACCACCTACATTCACTGATTGGAATGTCCTTCCTATATCGGTTCTCAGGCGATAAAGTCTGGCTTTCCAACTATTGGGGTCAATACTCGAAGGGGGTCGAATGGGCAGTAAGGAGTGTTGATAGCACTGGTCTAGCGAATGTGACATCCAATGTCAGTGCCGACTGGTTGCGAGGGGGTATGGGAGGCCACGTACGTTTTGCCACATCCTAGACCGAAGATCCCTTGCCGGTTTACTAATGAGGATCAGAACATCGAGGCTAATGCGATTCTCTACTTTGTCCTCCAAGAAGCGCAGAATCTAGCGCGCGACCTCAACCGGAGCTCCGAGTACACGAACTGGGCCAGTGTTGCTGATGGGGTCAAATCTGCAGCCAACCAGCTACTCTGGGACGACCAAGCAGGACTTTACCGAGATAACCAGACAACCGAGCTCCATCCACAGGACGGAAACGCCTGGGCTGTCAAATCCAATTTGACCCTTTCCGGCAGTCAAAATCGAGCTATTTCTCAGGCACTCAAGGCGCGCTGGGGTCGTTACGGTGCCCCCGCGCCCGAGGCCGGGGCAACCATCTCGCCTTTCATCGGCGGCTTTGAAATTCAGTCGCACTTTCTGGCTAACCAGCCCGATGTGGCTCTGGATTTGATTCGGTTGCAGTGGGGGTTCATGCTGCGCGATCCCCAAATAACCCAGTCGACATTCATTGAGGGATACTCCACGGATGGCTCGATCCATTACGCCCCGTACGCCAACGACGCACGCATCTCGCATGCTCACGGTTGGTCCACCGGCCCAACATATGCCTTAACAGCCTATACCGCTGGTCTGCAGCTACTCGGACCGGCTGGAAACAGTTGGTTAATTGCTCCGCAACCTGGGGGTCTGACTAGCATAGACTGTGGATTCGCTACTGCTCTTGGAGTCTTCTCGGTCGTCTTTGAAAGAGATTCAGTTGGCCGTTATAATTCTTTCTCTTTTGGCGCGCCGACTGGGACTACCGGCAGGATTGAGTTACCAGGGGTCCGAGGCACGTTGGTCTCCACCACGGGCCAACGCGTACAGCTGGTTAATGGTACAGCTTCCGGTTTGAGAGAAGGAAAATGAAAGCTGATTGAGTCAGCCGACTGAGGTAGCGTTGCCTCCTGCTGGCCGATGGCTATGAGAATTATGGGTTTTCAAACTGCTGATCCAATATAAATAGTATAGTCTAGTAATTAAGCCCATCTTGTGCCAGGAATATAGGCATAGTTTGGAGCATACTAATGGCAACCATCTCAGTGCCTGATCCGGACGGCTACGGGTGCATATTAATCTTGATTGGTAAGCCTTTTGCTCCGTTCTCGGCTCACCTGGAGTTGGGAAGCTTTCCTACATACAAGTAGTCTGATCTGAGTATTTCACAGTACCCTTTGTCGCTGACGATGTGCAAACTGTCTTCTGAGTCAATCTACTGTAGAAAAGGCTAGAAAGAAAGCGAGGAGATTTAGTGGCACGAGTTTAGTCGAAATGCGTAGGACCCTGATACGGAACAAAAGGAAGCGTCTCAGGGACACGGCCTTGGTCGTCCTCGACAAGCCGGTGGCCTCCCGGATAGGTTTGACCTGGTGTGATGTCAGACATGGCTTTCAGACTTGGTACGGGAAAAGGAATAGGCGTCTCGGGTAGTCTGAATGCATACCGTATTTGGGATGGTTTAACACACCCGTCTCGTAGATATTCACGTAGCGCTCTTTAAACCATTGCTGCAAGCGATCCCAGTTGACGTACTGATGATAGCCAGAAAAGTTGTCTCCGGCACTCGACTACCATCGGTCCACCAGTAGAGTCCACGATTATAATTCCCAATAAACGATGAGAAATTGCAAACAACTATCGATTTGTGGATCAATCGCGCATTTTATATCGTCCGAAAGAGTATCAGTCATCGGGCATTACATGGGTATCTTGGTCAATTATTTCCGTATTTCATCACATGACTGAGATCTTCTGCGAGTAAGCATGCATTGATTGGCATAGAACCGGGAGGTCCCAGGGTCAAGATAACAATCACACAGCTGCTTATCAGCAGCACATTGGTCGCACCTGTATTATAACCCCCTGACGTTCCCCGCCCATCTGTTCCTGCGCCTTTGTTGCCCCTTATCCTTTTCTCCCCCTCCCCGTACGGTACGCACGCCGTATGAACTCGATCAATCAAACTGCCTCCTGCGTTCTGGCAGATCGCCAGTTGGGTCCGCAGGTCTCCGTGCGCTGCCGAAGTTTCGACTTTACGGTCACATTTGAAGAAAGTATTTTGTCAGTTCTCCCATCAGTGCTCTTCATTAGTTCCGCAACCTTTCGAATTGCTCTTCTTTACAGGCAAAAGCCTAAGGTTGGAGCGCGACTTTCCCAAAGACTGAAGCTGGTTGGTATCCCTCATAGTATGCAACTCTACTAGAAATATGTGGCTTATCCGGTTGCAGTCTCTGGCAGGCGTCTTTGGTTTGCTCCAGTTGTCACTTCTTGTCATTCACGCCCGACCGCAGCACCCGGATCATCAGCCGTGGGGAATTGCAGCATTGGCTCTAGCAGTGGCAGACTCCATCTTTGTCGCTCTACTCTCGTACTTGGAACATGAAAGGGCGATCTCACCGGTCGCAGCTCACACTGATCTTGGGACCCGTCGGCAGTGGAAAGTCTGCACTGCTCCGGGCTATGCTGGGAGAAATGGATCTACTCACAGGCAGCGTGGAAAAGAAAGTCCGAAGTCCTGCGTATTGCCACCAATCACCTTGGCTTCTGAACAGCTCTATCCGGGAAAACATCGTTGGGCCCGATCAAGACCTTGACACTGAGCTCTACAGGAAAGCACTGTGGGCTTGCGAGTTGGATCACGATCTTCGTGAGATCATTGAAGGGGATCAAACCAAGGTCGGAAGTAGCGCCGTCACGCTGAGTGGGGAACAGAAACAGCGCATTGTAAACAATTGCCCTTGTCACGGAAGTGTATGCTCTGACAATATTTCTAACAGGCGATGGCCAGAGCGTTATATGCGCGAAAAGAGCTTTTTCTTCTCGACGATAGTTTCAGTGCGCTTGATCCCCGCACGGAGGGGAAGATTGCGCGGCGCCTTCTCGGACCCAAAGGCATGATGCGAGAGAACGGACAGACTGTGGTTGCTGCTTCCAAAGGAGGTCAGTGAAAGCCTGATAGACTCTGATTCAATAGTTGACACCTTGCTGCTTTAGAATGATTGTTACCGTACGCCGATCTGGTTATTCTTCTTGACATAAATGGCAGAATCCGGGCCCAGGGCTCGCCGGAGGAACTGACATCACACTTCACCATTCCATCCAAGGGTAACGACATGGAAGACGACGAAATCTACATCTCACACCAGGAACCTTTGTCAGTGCCGAATACAGCTTCCGATAAGAAAGTCCAACAGACCGAACCAAGGGACCATAGACTTGAACATCGCAGTGTTCCAGTTTATCGTTCCTATTTCCGCTCCATGGGTTTCTGGCGAGGCATGGTATTATGTGCTCTTCTGATTCTCCAGACGGTATTTTCCAGGTTTCCCAGTATGTCAGACCTTAATGAACCAGAAGCACAGTGGCTCACAGATAGACCTAGCTGTCTGGCTTCAGTGGTGGTTGGATAAAGACCCTTCGAGCATGGGGCCTTCATACGCGACGTACATCGGAGTCTACAGTCTCTTTCAGGCTGCATCCATGATATTCACCCTTCTTGCCGCGTTGTAAGCATGCATATATTATGTCGGGTACGCTCAAGACTGACATTGGATCTAGCCAGCAACTGCGCATTGTCATGCCACAAACCAGCCGCTATTTCCACAGGTGCTCTCGCGACATTGGCACAGGTCATTATCATCGCAAGGTGCGGGCTGTCGCTGCGTTATCTGTTTCGTTATTAATACTCGTCACAGCTCCTTTCCCTACATCTTCATCGCATTCCCAGTTCTCTTCGCCGTTGTGCTCGCCATTCAGAGGTTTTACCCGCACACATCGAAGCAATACGGGCGATGGACATTGAGGCGAAGAGCCCGCTGCTGTAAGTTCGCAACTACAGCTTGCCCAGCACTTCAACCGCTTCTGACATTCGTGCCTTTCAATATCCAGCGATCACTTTCTCGAGACCATAAATGGCCTCCATACAGTTCGTGCATTTGGCTGGCAGCACCACATCCGCAAAAGGCACGATGCGCTTCTTAACGCATCACAACGACCCTACTACCAGCGATTCATGGTCCAAAGATGGCTTAACCTCGTGCTCGACATGGTAGCTGCGGGAGTCGCGATTCTTGTCGTCGGAAAGGCCATCAGACTGCAAACTCGGTCGACGCTGGTCGGACTCGCACTGGTCAATGTCATCTCCCTGAATGAGACCCTGCAACTGCTGATCCTTCAATGGGCGGTGATGGAGATTTCACTCGGATCCATCACACGTTTGGAAGAATTCACGGTCCAAGCCAGAACCGATCGTCTCCTCGAGCAGCAAAGCAACTTTTCTGTCCAGGCAATTGGAGGTCTGTGGCCCCCGCATGGCTCAGTTGAATACAAAAATGTGACTGCCCGATACCAAGATGATGGTCCCGACGTGCTCAAGAACATTTGCTTGTCCATCCCCGCCGGCTTTAAAGTGGGGGTCTGCGGTCGAACGGGCAGCGGAAAGAGCACTCTGATCTCTGCACTGTTTCAGATGATCGACCTCACCTCTGGGTGTATCGTCATCGACGGTGTTGACATCGCAGAGCTCGATCCCGAATCGGTCCGCTCGCATCTGATCGGTATATCCCAGCACAGTTACAGTATGCCGGGAATTTCCGTTCGGGATAATCTGCAGCTGGGGTGTGTCAACCCATCGGAGGATTCTCAACTCATCGCAGCCCTGCAGAAAGTCAATCTTTGGGGCCTGGTCTCGGAACGAGGAGGTCTCTCAGCTATCCTGGACAATGAGACAATGTCTGCCGGACAGAGTCAGCTTTTTACTTGTGCGCGAGCCCTCCTGCGGTCTGGATCAGTAGTGGTGTTGGACGAGCCGGCCAGCAGCCTCACAGCTGAGACGGCGGATTCAATCCAACGAGTAATTTTGGAGGAGTGCAAGGAGCGGACGGTAATTGCTGTCATGCACCAGATTGAGAGGTTACTGGACTTCGATATGGTGGTGGTGATGGAAGATGGTCGAGTGGTGGAGATGGGCCAGCCTCGGGAGCTGCAGGAGGGTAATGGTCTCTTTCGAGGTCTTCTCGACGCAAGTCAATCAAATCGATGAATATGGTTTGCCTCGGCTATGAAATGCTGGTGTGGAGCTGAGATTGATGCTCAAATGTCGGAGTAATTTGCCTTTAGCTCTTTTGCTTTATTTGTTGTGGCCTGGTATACGAGTTCTGGCTGATTACTCTCAGCATCGGCCCGAATGATATATATAAACACAGAGGGCAACTTTGAACCGCCGAGCTTGAGCTATAAGATAGCTCAGTACCTACTGAACGAAGCTCGTAGTTTGGATTCGAAAAACCTCGCACCTAAAGTATGTTTAACAGCTCCGTAGAGCCAAGCGAGTCGGTCTTTCTGCTGGGAACAACCTCGGCATCTCCTCTCGTGCGAGTGCGGGGAGACATGCGGGGAGGAGAAGGGCGGAGAAAGGCGGAGAGGAATGGGAAGGGAAACACAGCGCCTATCCATGCAAGGGGTCCATTACCTCTTTCACTTCCACCACTCCTTCCTCCGTCATCTTTATCTTCATCTTCATCCCCCCATCAGTCTCCCCTTATCGAGATTCGGGTGAAATCGTCACGGATAATCTCGCCATGGCCTCCCCGTCCATTCCCCGCAAGCTCTGGGAGCATCCCAACCCCGAATCATCCAGCATGGCTCACTTCCGCCGAGCCTGGGAGCAGGAGCTGGGCGTGTCAATCCCAGTGGGTTCGTTTCTCAGCTCCACAAAGCTCGACCTGCTAATTCTGCTAGACCTTCCATGATCTCTACCACCACTCCGTCACGAAACGCGCTACATTCTGGGACTTCTGCTGGCGATACTTCAACGTTCTGCACCAAGGCACCTATACCTCCGTCGTCGACGAGACCGCCCCCATCGATGCAGTCCCACAATGGTTCGACGGCATCCAACTCAACTACGCCGAAAACATCCTCTTTTCCGGACACGGGACACAGGCAAGCACGGTCGGGAAGGAGGATGACAAGGTCGCCGTCACCGAGGTGCGCGAGGGGGGCCACAAGGAGGCCAGACATCTCACATGGGGGGAGCTGCGCAAACGCACCGGTCGCTTAGTGCAGGCGATGAAGGCGCACGGAATCCGAAAGGGCGACCGCATCGCGGTCTGTGCCGGCAACAGCATCGACACGCTGCTCGTCTTTCTGGCCACCACGGCGCTGGGTGGGATCTTTTCGTCGAGCTCTACAGACATGGGCGTCAAGGGCATTCTCGACCGGCTGCGACAAATCAGGCCCCGCTGGCTGTTTATGGACGACCAGGCATTCTACAACGGCAAGGCCATCGATCTCCGACCGAAGATGCGGGACATCATCGCCGGAATGGAGGGTATCGCCGAGTTTAGAGGCATCGTGGCACAGCCCAGGTTTGCTGCGCAACCGGCACCGGTCGGTCACCTGCCGCGGACACTCCCGTTGAAGGTGTGGGAGGCTCTTGCGATCGGCGACACCCTTGTTTTCGAGCAGGTCGACTTCCGAGACCCCTTCCTCATTGTGTACTCGTCCGGCACCACGGGCCAGCCGAAATGCATCATGCACTCCGTCGGTGGGGTCATGCTCAACGCGTTTAAAGAGCTGTTCCTGCACAGCGAGATGGACTCGGACAGTGTGAATCTGCAGTATACCACCACAGGGTGGATCATGTATCTCTCGGTCATCAACAGTCTGCTCGTCGGGGCGCGGGCGGTGCTCTACGACGGAAGCCCTTTCCTCCCGGAGGTGGCATCTTTGATCAAATTGGCGGCACAGGAGCGGTAAGATACCTATTTCCGACGATGTGAATCCATCAAAGGCAAGTTGTTGATCAGTGCATAGATTGACACACCTGGGAATCTCCCCGCGATACCTCCTCGAACTGCAACGAGCCCACATCCAGCCCCGAGACCTAGCCGACATTTCATCCCTGAAGGTCGTCACCAGCACCGGCATGGTCCTTCCTGAGAGTCTGTTCGAGTGGTTCTACGACACAGGGTTTCCGCCTCACGTGCGACTCAACAACATCTCCGGTGGCACCGACATTGCAGGATGCTTCGGGATCTCAAACCCCTTGCTGCCAGTCTACTCTGGCGGCTGTGCCGGCATGAGCCTGGGCGTGCCGGTGGAGGTCTACGACTCCTCGATCGAAGGCGACGGTGTGGAAGGTTCCTCCGTGCCACACGGTACACCCGGGGATCTGGTCGCAACTGCCGCGTTCCCGAATGTCCCTGTGGGGTTCTGGGGGGCGGGGGGCGCCGAGAAGTTCCACAATGCGTACTTCAACCGGTTCAAAGGTATGCCCCAAATGATATCTGAGGTCTGTGCGCTGACATCGGGAACAGGCGTCTGGACACACGGAGATTTCGTGTCCATCCACCCCGTGACACAACAGCTGCTCTTCCACGGTCGCGCAGACGGGGTCCTGAACCCGTCCGGCGTCCGCTTCGGATCGGCGGAGATCTACCAAGTCATCGAAGACGAGTTTGCGACCGAGGTGGTTGATTCTATCTGTGTGGGCCAACGGCGACCGTCCGATACGGATGAGAGAGTGATCCTGTTCCTCCTTTTGAGGCCCAAAGTATCGTTCAGCCAGGATCTGGTGCAGCGGATCAAGACGACGATTCGTCGCAAGCTGAGTCCCCGCCATGTGCCAGCGTTTGTATTTCCGACTCCTGAGATCCCGGTACGCCTCTCCCTGTCGACGCTTCTTGGCACTTACTAACGGAATGGTGTAGACAACGGTCAATGGCAAAAAGGTCGAGCTTCCCGTCAAGCAGATCGTCTCGGGGAGAATCATCAAGCCCTCCGGGACGCTACTCAACCCCCAGAGTCTGGAGTACTATTATAAATTCGCGAAAGATGAGGCGCTGCAGCCACGAAGCAGCAAGCTGTGAGAACATATCCTACTCAATTAGAGAAATTGCGACATGGTTGGAACGAACAAATTAAAAATGAGATGAACTTGATCCGTAAGGAACTAGTCTAATTATAAGATAAATGCAGCGAAAAATGCGGCCACTGCTCCGAGCATGAAAGAAGGAGCGCGAGCCACGGCACCGCCAGTAAATAGCGCGTTCACAGCACTGGAAGTAGAGCTGCTAGTGCTGGATCCGGTGCCCGTGGACACCGTAGCAGCCAACGTAGCCGTCGAAGGTGACGAGGCCGCATGGACGGCGCTGGAGCTGCCGCCCGCCGGTGGACGAGACGCGGTCTGCATTGCGATTGCGGCGTCCATGTAATTGCCGACCATTCCATGCACGGATTGACCAGCTGTCTCAGCGTTAGGCGCAGCAGGGACTGGGACCGCAGTGCCGACGGCAACGAGCGTGTATGTCTTCGTTGCTGTGGTCGTAGCAGAACACCCCAGCTGGCCGGCCGAGCACCCTTCCACCGTCGATGCCGCGTTGTCTGCCGCGTATCCCGCACTCGTGGTAGCAGGGAGAGTTGTAGTTTCTCCGTGGACGTGGATCGCATCGACACCCTCCGGCGCTGAGTTGGTACCAGTACCCACACCGGTAGATGTGGCATGCACGGGCATCACGAGTGTCTCGGTCGTGTAGGACGTGATCCGTGCGGTGGCATCGCACACTGGCCCCGAAGGACAGGCGGTAATAGTGGCGATGCGCGTGCTGAGCGTCGTGGATGCTGGTGCTGCCGCAGCCCCCTGGCCAAGATTCACAGCCGTGTCTGTGGAGCCTAGGGCGTTCGAGTCGGCGACTTGGCCGGCGGAGCTGAGAGTTTGCCCGGCTGAGTCAGTCCTCGACGCCTCGGCGATGGGACAGATGGTAGTAGACACCACGAGGGTCTCGGTGGTCAGGTACGTGGTCCTGGCGCGGGCTGGACAGTTGGTGGCAGCGCCGGGACACGCGGTGATGGTCGCGGTGCGGGTGCTGAAGATCGTCGAAGTGGTGTACTCTTCGTCGAGCTGGGCGGAGCCACCCGCGCTGTGGTTGTTGGGAGCGAGACTGGTGGGGGGTGTCTGGCCGGAACCGGAAGCAGTGGGGATGGTAGCTTCCTCGATGCGTGTCACGGGACAGATTGTCGTGGATGCAACGATCGTCTCGGTGGTTAGGAAGGTCGTCTTGGAGCTAGCGGGGCAGTCGGTTACTGAGCCGGGGCAGGCGGTTACGGTGGTTGTTCGCGTGCTGAAGATGGTCGATGTGGTGAACCCCTGCCCTTTAGCGGATGTGTCACTGTGAGCTGCGCTCGCTCCTGCGTTGACTCCAGTGGGCTGAGGGATGCTAGTCTTAGTCACCGGGCAGACTGTCGTCGACATGACGAGAGTCTCTGTTGTTAGGAACGTAGTACGCGATCTGGCGGGGCAGTTGGTCACCGAGCTAGGGCAAGCGGTGATGGTAGCTGTTCGCGTGCTGAAGATGGTCGACGTGGTGAAGCCCTCCTCCTGAGGACTTTCGCCGTGAGCTGCGCTCGCCGCATTGGTAGCGGTAGGCTGTATAAGACTGGTCTCACTAACTGGGCACACTGTCGTCGACAAGACGATAGTCTCTGTCGTGAGGAACGTAGTACGCGATCTGGCGGGACAGTTGGTCACCGAGCTAGGGCAAGCGGTGATAGTCGCCGTCCGGGTTGTCAGTACCGTCGAGGTGGTCATTGCAACCTCACTGGATGTCGTAGCCTGTCCTGCGCTGGATGCTCCCGTTCCAATGGGAAGGGAAGTCTGTTTTGTGTTTGCAGAGCATATCGTGGTACTAGAGGTGATCGTTTCGGTGACTGAGATGGTCGTGGTTCGGCGGGTGGGCCGGCCAGAGCTGAGCGCTGAGCTTGACGGCATCGAAATCCCGCCAAGTGAGCTGCTGGGCCTTATAAGGGGAGTGCTTGAAGAAGCATGGGGTCGAATGGATGAGCTGCGAGCGAGGGAGGATGCGACCGACGAGGACGAGGGAATGACAAGCGCCGTGGACGAGCTAGGACGCGATGATGCAGATGGTGGAATGACAGCTCTCGAGCTCGGAATTAGAGAGCGAACTGGTGAGGACACACTGGACGGCGCAACAGACGCAGATGAAGCCCTCACATTAGAGCTAACAGCAGACGATAAAGTCG